GGAGTCCCCACCCCCATCCTCCACAGCAGCCCCTGCCCACAGCCCCATGGAGCAATGGCAGAGAGTGAAAGAGGCGACACTAGGGAGGAGAAACCATGAGTCTAAAACCTGTATCCCAATCTGTCAGGGGTGATACCTCAGCAACAAAGCCTCCAAGAGATGATAAAATGGGGTGCCAATTCCAAACACTACCGCTTGGAGCTCACCCATCTCCATAACTAACAAGACGTGGATCTCAGCTCACTCTCCAAGGGACCGACAAACCTTGTGAAAGTACATGTCCCATGTCCAGGGATGAATCTACCTGTCCTGCCTCCCTGTCACCCCCAGGCTGCTGCATATAAAAGGACAGAAGCCCTCCGGATGCCTCCTTTGAGCAGATCCACTGGATACATTCTCAGTGTACTCTCTTCTCTCCTCTTTTCTTTCCTCTCCTTCCTTCCTTTCTTCTCTACAGAGAGGGTGAGATAGAACAGCATGGTGGTCTCCCATGAGATCTGTATCATAGTATCTCTGAGTCTGAGGGACCCTAAAGGCCCCCCAGCTCACCTCCCCCTTCCCAGCCCAGAAAACTGGGACTCAGGGAAGCCAAGTGACTTGCTCAAGGTCACAGGGAAGTTGGCAATAGAGCTGGTCTGAAAACCAGAGCCTCCTAATCCCCAGTCCAGGGATCCTTCTAATAAATCAGGTTCCTGCTGGTCATGTCCAAAGGAAACAGTGTAGAACCAGAGAGATTTGGAGCCCAGGTGGAGAGAGTGACCTCCAGTGCCCCCAGACGGTCGGAGGATGGAGGCAAGGTGGGCTGAGGTTGTGGGAAGGGCGAGGGAAGAAGGAAAAACAGGTTAATGATAGGGGGTGAGGGGGGCAGGGGTAGCAAGTGAAAGGATTACCCCAGTCTGCTGACGAGTGCAAATTATATTCATATATGTGCTAAATACAGTCACTATATTGGAGTTTTTCACTAGATCACAGCATACAGAATCAAAGGTTTGCATTTCGTATGGAATGTATCCAAAGAGGCCAGCACCACAGTAGGACAGCTTGCAATCACACACCCTGATAGTTTGGACAAAATAAAGTTCGCAGAATTTTATTTAAATTTTTTTTTGTATTCGTAGTTGTCATCGTACCAATGCATGCAAAGCATTCCACTCCCAGAAACAACGCCAAAATGAGGTAATAGGAGTAATAAAAAAAATTAGTATCCTTTCTAAATAAATAAATTATAATTAAAAATGCAAAACAACTATAAAAATAATTAAATAAGAACCCACGATATCTACAAGTTAGTCATAAATTATGATTGTTAAATATAAGGCATTTAAACTCACAAAACCCTGTAAACTAGCAACGTGCCATGTTTTTTGTTTTTTGTGGTTTTTTTTTTTCATTTTTGTTTTTCTATCAGCTGAAATCGCTCTAGCATTTGCTCTACGCGCGCAGGAGATGAAACACAAGGGGGGGACCTGACAGACGTTGCTACAGCCCCACGAGGGGAGTGTGTGTCCCGCCGGCTGGCAGGGGGCTTGGGGGATTTCTTCAGGAAAAAAAAAAAAAATCTGGTGCTTTTTCTTCACCATTGAAAAAACTGTGCTTGTTCATTAGGCGTAAAGAGTTAAGAATACTTGCACGGAGGCTGGGAACATTTGCAGAAGAGGAGCTAGAGTCCTGCCACAGGTGGTGGGCAAGGGCTACAGGGCCCTAGGGGACCCAGGCGAGTGGAGAAGCCCGGTGCCCCCGCACTCTGCCCTCGCAGGCCGGGCTTGTGGCGTTGGTTTCGTGATTGGTGTCCTCAGTGGACCCCTGCGGCCAGGACTGCGCTGTGGCGAGGAGGCCCAACTTGATCCTGGGGCAGCTCTCGCCCCAGAAGGCACTCATGCGTCTCAGTCAAGAAGGGGTCTGAGTCCCTTGAGTTGAGCAGAAGGAGGAGGCCGGGGGTCTCCTCTCCTGGAGGTGGTGGGTGTGAGATGCTGAGGCCTGAGCCTGCCTCTTCTCCACTCTTGCCGGGCTCCCAGACAATGGGGGAGGGGGCCGTGAGGGAGCAGAAGCACAGACCCCCTGTCCTCTCTTCTCAGCTGGACAGCTGCCCCGTTGAAGGAGCTGGGAGGTGCCTGGGTCCAGGTCACCTCCTGTGCCCACCTGCAGGGTAAGAGGGCCCCAAAGAGATGGGGAGGGGAAGGAGGCTTTAGGCTCAACCTCCAAAGCCAGCGGAGGACCTCTTCCCTCCAGGTGGTCCCCACCCACCCCAGTCAGTGCCTAAAGTTAGCCTGGGGCACTCAGGGAGCCTGCAGGTAATTGGGAGGAAGAGGAGACGACATCCCACTCTCAGCCTCTAAAACAGATATTGGTGCCCACAGCAAGTCATTTCAATAGCTCAGTTGGCACACAGCTCTAATGACTTGAATGATGTGTTGATGTCAGGGAGGATCAGAGAATGTGAGTGTTGGAAGGAAATTTAGCAAGCATCCAATCCAACCTCCTCTGTTGCAGCTGAGGAAACCGAGGCCTGTAGATATGAAGGCAGGTTTCTAGCACTACCCACCTTGTCAGTGAAGAGCCAACAAACACTGGAGCCCAGGACGCCCGCTCTTGTCCCATCTGGCCTCCCCACTGGCTCTACCTGCTAGCCTTACAAGCTGGCCTTAGAGAGAACAGGAGCCCAAGACTGAGGGGGGTGACCTTCCCTAGACCACCCTGGCTGCCTGTGGGTCAAAGCAGGGTAAGAATTCCCAACTCTCCGGGACAACTAGTAACCAGCTTTTCCCCAAAATCCTGACTCAGAAGTACTTTCCACACTGGTGGGTCTCCAGCCTTTAGCCCTAGAGACACTGTTCACACACTGGAATCACTGAAGGGGACAAGGTCATGTTCATTGCCATCAACCCTGAATTAGACTTCTCACCATTTTGCACTAATCTTTGTGTCTTAGCTCCTTGGCTACAGTGTAATTTCCTCAGGCAGGGATATTGTCTTCTTTGCTATTGCCTGTCCCAGCACCTGAACTGGCAGGCACTCAGGAGAGATTGCTTTAGTCTAAGATCCTTGTGCAGCCCTCCCACCAGAAGCACCTCCCCCACTATCTGCCTGCAGGTGTCCAGAGCAGCCATCCCTCCACCTGACAGCTCCAATTGTGCTAGAAGGTTCCACCTCAAGCCAAAATCTGCCTCCCAGTCATTTTTACCCATTGGTTCTGGTTTTACCCTTTGTAGCAGCAGTGCAGACCTCCAATTTCCTAATCTTACAGAATTTCTTCATATATGTGATAAATATCCTGGCCCCCCTAGTCTTCTCTTATTGATATAAGGGTATTGCGACTGGGGGCGGGGGGCTTTGAAGGTAGTGCAAATGAAGGAGAGGAAGAGGGGAGGGGTAAAGGAAGAGAGCAGAATTCCAGCTGAGCTGGTGTTTTCTGCCTATAGATAAAGAAAGTTGGGTTGGGGTTGGTGGTTTTGGTGGAATTTGGTAGGTTTTCCTATATCTATCCCTCTGTTCTCCCATCTCTCTGCTCTCTTTGAGGTTCAGAAAAACGGTGGGGTAGTGCAGAAAGACACACTGTGTGGTGTCACCTGGAACTTCCAGGTCTGTCTCTCCTACCACCCCCATCCCTAAATCCTAAGGAGGTTCCCAGGAGAAAGCATAAATGTGTTGGGCTGATAGTATTAATCCTCACAACAGCTGGGTGAGGTAGAGGAAGTGGAAATGGAGAAACACTGTTGTTTCTCCCCACTCTAAGGAGAAGGAAACTGAGGCACAGAGAAAGAAAGGGACTTGCCCAAGGTTATCAAAGAGTCAGAGAAAGAGCCAGAGGCTAGGGACACAGTGCCTCCCAAACCCAGCCAACAGGATCTCATGGCCAGGGCCATCTCCAAGGGACTTCATCAAGATTTGAGTCATCCCTAAGGAAGCTCAAGTCTTCTTCAAGGTCCACAGGATTTGACCTCAGCCCTCAGTGTTAGCTGAGAGCATTTTGGCCAAGACCAAACATCCATCACCTATGCTAACTTGCTTTCATCATCTGGTTATTTATTTATTTATTTATTTATTTATTTATTTTGCATAGGGAGGCAGTGGCCAAATTGCTTCTTTGTGACAGGGCATGAGCAGGCCGAAAGGAAGAAGTTGGCTTGAGCAGGGGCATCCTGGCTCTGAGGAATCTGTGACAACTTTAGTTGAAGGCTAGCCCCTCCCTGGTTCAGTGTGGAACTGGGGGGATGGCTGGAGCTAAGTAGATGGGCTCTGGAACTGGGGATCCCTCTCTCAAGACAGAATTCTCTTACCTACTCAAACTCTACCTTCCCAACCCTGCCGGAGACCCGCAGAGGCCCATCTAAGACCCCATCTGCTCCTTCTCTAGTCCTACCCTCTCTCAGACTCCCCCTTCCATGCTCCGTGCATTGTAAACATGAGAAAAACCAAAGCAAAGGGAAAAACCAAAACGGAAACCAAAACAAAGACACCCCCCCGCCCCACCTCCCAACCTGGGTGGAAAAAAGTATCTTTTTTTTTCATCGTAAACAGGATTTGGCTTTTTCTTTTTTCACTTTTGATTCCTTTTCCCTTTTCTCTCATAAAGACGGGAAGATTTGGGCTGTCATTGGTTGGTTCGGTCAGGCACCAAAACAAGAAACTCAATGAGAAATATTTGGTGCGAATTCGGTAATAGCGACATGTCCACCACAAGATGACTAGAGCACCACACACAACATTTTTCTTAAGCTAACATGCTCTGGCTGCCATCCACAGAAATAGCTAGAGACCCCTACATGGTTTCTACGTGGCCGAGAGGTATATATACAATCCTTCAAAGGACAGGATTGAGGGGCCGGTCTGTCAGCTAGGCCTTCAGGATCACGGCTAGATTCTCAGCAGCGTGGGCCCCCCCTTCCCACCCCTGCTCCGGGCACGGCCAGCTCCCCCCCCCC